GAATCACACGGCTAGTACCCGGCGGAGCTTGCAACAGTTTGCTCTGCAGCAGTGCCCTCAGCTAGCCCTGGGACTGAAGTGCAAAGCCCCAGCTAGTTTATTTATCTGTGCACTTTGATTTGCATCTTTGTATGATAGGTCTCTCTGGGCTTTTGCAACCAGGTTGTTTTCACTTGTAAACATCTTGAGGGCAGGAACTACATCTGAGATACCCAAGACGCCATGTGAGAGTTTCTGCAACTTGCTTCATACTGAGAAAACTGCCCGAGCTGTTTGTTCAAAGAAGAGATTCTCTAGCATGTCGGCTGGGGAGTCTGACTCAGAAACAATGAGGGGGGCCTTGGATCCGAAATTTTTTGTATTTTTATTTTTTAAAAAACATAGCTTTATAAGCCAGTAAGTGTTTTACTTAACACATTAACTGCCATGTGAGTTGTATTTAACTCATGCTAGTTTTGAGCCTGGGGCCTCGTGAAGCATACGTAACTCACACATCTCTTTGGGAGCTGTGCGAACTATTTTTCAAGTTGCTTATAACTTGTGCACAGAAAACCATAAAAAATGACAAATCTTTCATTAAATTAGAAAGGATCATTTTGTTTTCACAGTTTTTATTCTATTTTTGTTATAAAACATCACGACTCCCAGGGAAAAAAAAAATTTTTTTGTAGTGTGGCAGTCAGTGGGTTAAACAAAGAAAAGCATTAAACATCTAGAAAGATCTTTTCAGGAGCTTGTGTCTTTAAAAAAAAAACCAATCACGTGTTGCCCCAGATCCTCACGTTTTCCCGCTTATCCTCAGCTTATGACTCCTAAATTTATTTTTTTTGAGACAGAGTCTCACTGTGTTACCTGGGCTAGAGTGCTGTGGCATCAGCCTAGCTCACAGCAACCTGAAACTCCTGGGCTCAAGCGATCCTCCTGCCTCAGCCTCCCAAGTAGCTGGGACTACAGGCATGAGCCACCATGCCCGGCTAATTTTTTCTACATATTTTTAGTTGTGCGGATAATTTCTTTCTATTTTTTTTTTAGTAGAGACGGGGTCTCGCTCTTGCTCAGGCTGGTCTCGAACTCCTGAGTTCAACAATCTGCCCGCCTGGCCTCCCAGAGTGCTAGGATTACAGGAATGAGCCACCCCGCCCGGCCGCCTAAATTTTTTTTTAAACCCCAGGACTCTGGGAATTCTTAAACTAAGGCCGGTTGGAAACTTTTGCTGCATGGAACTGGAGCGCCCTCTGCTGTCTATGAAGAGGATGGCAATGAAACAGACGCAGGCACTCCCAGGATGGGGCCCGTCCTTTAAACGGATTTTGGTTGTTGTCATCTGTGGGCCACAGCCAGGTGGGGACCCAGAGATCTGTGTCCCTTCAGCAGGCAACAGAACTGTGGGGAACTTGCCTCTTTTTGGCTGGGTACCAGGGTGGGTGGTGAAGGAGGAGGTACCACCCAAATAAAAATAACTTTTTTTACCCTGACATAAATAATAAATGTTCATGTTAAACGATTTGAATAATACAGAGAAGAATAAGCAAGGAAGTAAAAATCGTCTGGGCATGGTGGCTCACGCCTGTAATCCCAGCGCTTTGGGAGGCCAAGGCAGGAGGATTGCTTAGCCCAGGAGTTTGAGATCAGCCTGGGCAACACAGCAAGACTCCATTTCTTTAAAAAAAAAAAAAGGGAAAGTAAAAATCACCTGAAACTCCACCACCTAGAGATAACTGCAGATACAATTTTGCAGACCGTCTTTCCATTTATTTGTTTCATGCTGACACACATACGTACACTAAATCACTTCACTATACCTGGAGTGTTTTACTGAGGCCTCTTTTTAAAAACTCTTTCCCCTCCCTTGCTTCCCTTGCTATTGTTTTTGTTTTTGTTTGTGCATACTTCCCTGCCAAAGGTGACTGATGTTGACGGTTTGGAGAATGTCCTTCCACATCTTTTTCAAACACTCACATACAAACACATGTTGATGTTTTACAGAGAACAATATTCAGCTCTCTGCCCTTTGATGCAAGGAGCTGGCCCATTTAGTTTTTTATTTATTATTACTATTTTTTTTAGAGAAAGGGTCTTGCTGTGTTGCCCAGGCTGGAGTGCATTGGCATGATTATAGCTCCTTGCAGCCTTAAACTCCTCGGCTCAAGTGATCTTCCCACCTCAGCCTCCTGAGTAGTTGAGACTACAGGTGCATGTCACCACGCCTGGCTAAGTTTTAATTTTTTTTTTTTTTTTAGAGATGGGGTCTCACTATGTTGCCCAGGCTGATCTCAAACTCCTGGGTTCAAGCAGTCCTCCTGGCTCAGCCTCCCAAAGTGCTGGGATTATAGATGTGAGCCACTGCCCCCAGCTAGGAGCTGGCCCATTTAGGGCTTCACTCCAGACCTACTAAATCAAAATCTTTGACTGTGGACCCACGAATCTGTATTTTTAACCCTTGATCCCGGGCATTTCTTGTGCTGTTGGCTCTGCTCCAGCGTAGGGAAGGCTGGCTGGCAAAGACTTGTGCTGCTGTGGGCAGGCAGTAGGAAGGGTCAGGAGGAAATTCTGATCAGGAGGGTCTTGAGGACAGTAACAGGTTAACGAATGGAAGTTTCCAGGTAGAGAAAGCAGCTTGTGAGAAAACACAGACGTGAGAGAGTTCAGGGCATGTTCTGGAGATGACAAAGAGTAGGGGTGAGGCCCGGGTGTATAGGGGCTATGGAAGAGACAAGGCTGGAAAGATTCGATTGGAGGAGGGCTCTGAATGCAAGGTGAGGGCATCAAAATGTATTTTCTCCAGCTGAATTTCCAAAATGGTGGCACACATGCTGATTTTAGGTGATATGTATACCCAGAACTTTTTCACTTTAGTCCCTTCCGAAGTGGTCACATCCAGGAGAAAGTTTCAGTTAGGTGCTAGCCTGGCTTTAACATCACTCCAACAGTGACAAATTTCTTTTTAACATAGAACAGGCCTCAGGCTTTAGGGCCTTAGCATGAAACAAGAGCAAGTGAGAATGCTTCATTTTCATAGGTTTTAGTGGTTGCTTTCTATTTATTGCACAGGATACTGGTTTTCCATGTATTATAATTATATAAAGTTTTCAATGAATTTGTTTTAAAAGGTGAGTTGATAGGAGCAAGACCTCTAAGTAAATAATGCTACAGGTGGTGCTCGAATATGGCAAAAAATATGCAGACGTCTTGTGGCCAGAGCTCATCAGGAATGGGGGAGTGCTTCAGGTAGAAGGAATAGCATCAGTGCTGTGTTGCTAAGTGTTTAACAACTGGCTCCCTGAACGAAACAAAACAAAGAAGCAAACACACATGATTTGCAGCATTTGTCTATTTCCATGGTGTGAATGCTCTCACCAGGGCCAATTTGACGTCACTGAACACAGAGTGGGAAGTGATGCTCACTCTGGCTCTCTTGGGAGTGAGGATGAGTCGGCTCCAGCATAGTACTGGTTCACAAAAGTGGACAGGAGCAGGGGCAGGTGGTAGCGGGCGGTGAGAACGCCCTCTGGGCCAGAGAGGAGAACACAGAAGCCCGGCTGGTTAGAGTGGGGTTGAGTTCTTGATGACCTTGAATGTCAGAATTGGGGCTTAAGGATCAAACGGAATGGGTGATCCTCGCATGGAGAACTTTTGCAAGAGAAGAGAACTCAGCCTGGCCAAGGGGAGTGGGTTCTCGTGTTAATGATCCTTCAGCAGTGGGGAGTGCTTGCAGCGTGTTGGGCACCATGCTTTATGGACAGCACCTCATTAATTCTCCTAGCAACTCAAAGAGGCAGAGGGTATTTTCACCCCCTCTTTAGAGAAGAGGAAACTGAGGCACAGAGAAGTTAAGCAAGTTGCCCAAGGTCACACAGCTGGTAAGTGGCAGAGCTAGGCTCAACCCCAAGCAGCCTTAACCACTATGTCCTGTTCCATAGGAAACTTAGTCTCTTCATCTGCAAAATCAGCACAAAGGCTACAAGGCCAACGAGCATGGGGTTGGAGTTATACTTACCCAGAACAACAACAACAATATAAGTAATAGTAACGAATATTTCATTGAGGTCTTAGATTCTAGCGTCAGGGAGATCTGAGTTCCAATCCTAGCTCTGCCATGCATTAACCGATTGGGTTACATATCTTCTTTGAGCCTTGATCTTCTCATCTGGAAACTGGGGATAAAAGTACCTAAATCATGAGACTGTTGGATGGTTAATGAGAAAATGGATAAAAATTGCAAATACCAGTGACTGTCCAACAAAGGTTAAAGGGTATGGGGGGGGGAGAGGGAGAATATTCTTGGGTTTGAATGTAGGGAGCCCCTGGGGCATCGTCCGTACTGAGATCAACAGCTAGTGACGGGTCAGCGGAAGGGCACCCCTCTGACGCAGGCTCCCAAGGCCAAGGGGAAGCCTGTGCCTTTCCCGAATTTCAGCCCTGCAAGGAGAAGAGAATCGTGGTAAAGCTCACAGCTACCATTTGTTGAATTCCTACCACGTCCAAGGCAGTCGGTTAGGTCCACACCTCCCAAACTGCGCGCGGAGCTGCCCCAGGACGCAGCCGAGTATTTCAGAGAATTTTCCGAGGAAACGCAGCGACATCTGTCGGACAACTTGCGAACTACCAGCTCAAGATGTTCGCAGTTTGAATGTCAGTTGGAGCTACATTCTTTCCACGACGTCCTAACTTTGTGAATCTGAGTTTGTGGCAGTTGTGATGGAAAGCAAGTGTCATGCAAAAATTACTGTGGCGCAGGAAACGAGGGTTATAGTGTCCTGATTCCCAGGTTGGAGCAGTTGTGTAGAGCCCACAGGCACACCTGTCCCATCAGTACAAACTTAGTTATTTAAGAATGAACTCTTATTTTTTCTTTTCATTTATGTGCATTAGCTTTTAAGTGGCTGCTAAGTTGTTAGGGCGTAAATACTTACTAGTTGTTTTGACTTAACTGTTGTACTTACTAAACATAACTATTCAGTTTTTTTTTTTTTTGCAGTGGACTCTCAAGAATGCAAACTGCCTCTCCTGACCTTGAGTTAATTCAGTTTTGTTCCCTGAGCATGGACAAGGGCAGGCTGGGGGCTGGAATCAGCCGTTTCTGTTTGTGTACCTCTCTGCTTACACTCCCCGGAGGCTGTCCCCACCCCTCGCCATTCCCTCCCCAACCTAAATCACCTTCAGTCCCCGAGTCACAAGCTCAGACACCTGGCTGCCTGATGACTGGCAGTTAATGAGTTCCAACGTCGTGGAAAGGATTCAGGCCCCATCTTCCTTGCTCCCTCGGGCTCCCGGGCGACGGAGGCGGCTGCAGGCAGCAAAGATAGTGAACGAGAGAACCTCAAAACCATGAACAGCACACAGCATCTTCCTGCCTTTCAGCCTGGACTTGAGAACACTGCCTCACCTCAAAGCAACTTGCACGGTGGTTTAAGAAAAAGACGCTGGAGGAAAGGGGGTCCAGCTATCTTTCGGGGGTGCGGCCAGCTCATCATGCACCATCAGACTGCCTGGCTCAGGGGGACTTTAATCGCACCTCTGAGAAGTTCTGAGCAGTCATTTAACCCCTCTGAGCCTCTCTTTCCTCCCCTGCAAAATGCGAATAACAGCAGTTTCTAATTCAGAGAGTTGTTCTGAGAATGAAGCACATTACCAAAGCCTAGTTCAGAGAGCTGGGCACCGTGGCCCACGCCTGTAATTCCAGCTACCCAGGAGGCCGAGGCACAAGGATCGCTTGAGTCCAGGAGTTTGAGATCAGCCTGGGCAACAAAGCAAGACCCCATCTGAGGGTGGAGGGGGGAAGCTTTGGGCAAAGCTCATTACACATGGTTAGTTGCAATGAAATAGAGCTATTCATTTAAGAAATATTTATTGAGCACCTACTATGTAATCTGAGGGTCAATATACTAGACACTGGGAACACAGCAGTGAACAAGAAAAGATCGCTGCTCTCAGGGGCAGGAGCACAGGCTTACATTCTAGCAGAAAACGACAGACTATATGCAATAAACACAATCTGTACATAGGTGAATTGCAGGGCAGTATTGTCCAACAGAAATACGACACGAGCCATGTATGTAATTTAAAATTTTTCAGTATCATCAAAAAAGTAAAAAGGAGCAAGTTTAAAAAAAATTTGAAACAAAAAAAATTTTAAATCAAAATTATTTCAAACGAAATATAATATTAATATAATCAATATATTATCAATATATTGAGGAGAGTTTAATTATATCTAATTTAAAATTATTCTAAATGTTAACTTTTTAATTTTTTTAATTTTAAAATTTAACACAGCATATCAAAAATACTATCATTCGACAAGCAGCATGAGCTGCGTTTCAAGTGCTCAGCAGCCACTTGTGGCTGGTGGCTACTGTATCGGCACTGTCGTTGAGTATATTAGCAGGTGATAAATTCTGTGCAAAAATGAAAAAGTCACTTGGGGTGAGGGGAACCAGAGCACCAGGTATGGGAAGGGACAGGACCAAGAAGGCAGATTTGAGCTGACTTGGGGCAAACGGCTTGCTGATTATTATTTTGAGATGGGGTCTTGCTCTGTTGCCCAGGCTGGAGTGCAGTGGCATCATCATAGCTCACTGCAGCCTCGAACTGCTGGGTTCAAGTGATCCTCCTGCCTCAGCCTCCTGAGTGGGAGTGATTACCATTATTAACTGGCCCCTTTCTTCCCAGCTAGCCCCGCCTGGCCTGCAGCAGGGTGGCTTCCCCGGCCAATGGCTCCTGCCCTTTCCCGGTTCCAGCATGACCCTGGCTTTGCGGAGCCCTGAACGATGCGGGCGCTCTGGAGCTGCCCCAGCTTGGGCGTGGGAACCCCTCATTCTGCCAGCCTGGGGCTGCCCCATGGGCAAACTGGAGAAATGTCGTCCAGGTTCTTGGCAGGAAGAAGAAAGAGGTGGGAGGGCAGGTGAAGGACAAGTTTTTCCCGGGGCTGGGCTTAGGGAGAGTTGAGTGAGGGTGGGGCCTGTCTTTATTTAAAAGTTTGATATTTTCTTCGTC